GATAGCGAATTTTTACTGAAAGAGTGGGGGGCGGGGGGTTCTCATATTTTCCAATTTAGAAAATTTCAAAAATTTCAAGAAATTTCTCATTAATTTTAAAAATTTCCGAAATTTTGAAAATTTTTAACTTGGACAAATTGAAAAAAAAATTGAGAACCCCCCCGTTTTTTCGTAAAAATTCGCTATCTCCCTTAGTTTAGGAGATATGAAAAACTCACCGACGAGCTAAATCGACTGCGGGAGTACATCAAGAATTCAGTACATCCCCAAATGTGAAGACAAATCAGTTTGCATCAAACCCAACAAACCCAAACATCGGCTTGAATCAAACCTAAAATTCGGTCTGAATCAAACCGGAAATTCGGTCCGAATCAAACCGAAAATTCAGTCTGAATCAAACGGAAAATTCGGTCTGAATCAAACCGAAAAATCGACTTGAATCTGCCCGAGTCCGACTTGATTCATGCCGTCAATTCGACATGAAACAAGTCGATTCCCGGCATGATTCAGTGATGAACCCATTTTACCGTGCTCGACCATAATTTTCCTTGTATTTTTTTTTCTCCGGGTAAAACTTACTGTACTGAAATTAAAAAAATCACTTTCTTCTCGTGCAGCAATGATTACACCACAATAAATTTCACTATTATCGGTGCAAAATTTCTCAAGAGAGAATGAACTTTGATCTTTAAATATGAGGTATTCCATGCCAAATGAGTCAACCGCTGACCCTAACCATCTTGGAAATTGATGGCGATTTTTTCTACGATTGGGGAGGTTAAAAAACTATATCTCAAATTTTTTCTATCTGAGTGACATTGAGATTAAACTCAGAGAAGTGGGAATTTCGGGAGTGTGTCTTGGAGGCTCACTGGACATTCTAATGCTGGGTTTTGCAGACGACCTCATCTTCTTCGCTGAGACACCGGTTACGATGCAGAGACTCCTCAACGCTCTCCCAGCGGTCTGCGAGTCCCTTGAATTAACAGTCAACGTTCAAAAAACCCAGGTGTTGATCATGCATAGAAGTCCTCGTTGCAGAACAGCTCCATCTTTCAGGTTCGGTAAATCTCCCATTCACATCACTGACAGGTACACATACCTTGGAATAGTATTTACCAGTACTGGGAGTTTCATCTCAGCAGCAAGAGACCGTATTTCAAAAGCAAATAAAGCGATAGGATCCTCCAGACAGCTTCTGGTCTCAACTAAACCGAACACGATACATCCGTCATCCAAACTCTTCGATTCGATTGTGGCAACAACCCTGTTATACGGTGCAGAGATTTGGGCTGACAACTACAGCGACCTGAGTGAATCCGTGCAGTCTCAATATTTCAAGAACATCCTCGGTCTATCTAGATCAACACCGCACTATGTGATCCGTCTGGAGCTCAACCGATCCATGCTCAAAATTGAAGTCCTAAAACGTAAGATCAACTGGCTCATCAAACTCCTGAGGATGTCCGCCCGAAGATTGCCTTATATGTGCTACCAGAAACTCCTCAACAAACACATTCTGAACCCATCAAACCTCTCCCTCAATTGGGTGTCCAGGCTCCACGAAGACCTAGCCGCCCTGGGATACGGGCACGTCTTCGATTCTCAAAACCCAAACATCATCGAAGAATACAAAGCAGATATCATCGCCGCACTCTCAACATCCATAAAAAGGGACGACCTATCAAGCGCTGCGGCTTCGTCTGCCTGCCCTTACTACCTGGCACTATTCAACATCATTCCCGACTCAAATGCATACCTGTCTCATAATGTCAACTCCAGACAGCTGGGAATCATCTACCAACTGAGGTTAATAAACAATCAAAACCCAAGACTATGCTGGAAGAACAACCGAGTGCTATTGGACGCAACAGCCACATGCTCTCTATGCGGCACAGGAGAGATGGACGATATCTTCCATCTGCTTTCTGGCTGCATAGCTCTAGAACATCTGAAAGAGAAGTACTGTCTCACGAACCAACACCCGATCCATATGCTGACGCTCACCTCGGACGAAAAGACCATCAGGCTCTTCAACGATATCTCCAGAGCGATAGTTCTAAAGGCGGCATCCTAATCTCACACTTTGATTTTATCCATATGAACTCCAATTTATCATGTCTGATTGCCTTGGCGATTCTTTGTATTGCTCTATCTTGATGTTTTTAGATGTAAATTTATAAATATATAATACTATTAAAGGACTGGTGCCTACCCCCTAGTATATGTGCAAATGCACTACAGATACAATAAATAAATAAAAAATAAATCTCAAATTTTTTCAGATTTTTTCGGCAGCCCAGTTCGGAGATGTGATTTTTGTTTCGTTTTTTCGGTTTTTTTCAATAACTCGAGTTCTATCCATCCGATTTTGATTTATTAAGCGTCCAAATTTTTCATTTTTTACTGTCTATAAGAATATTTTCAGTGAAATTTTTTTTTCGATCTCTAGATGCGCATAATAACGACTTTTCAAATAAAAAAGTTTAAAAACTAGAATTTTGCAAATTACGTCACGGATGATTTGTTTCATTTTTTTTTCCGTAATTCTTATAATCAAAACAAGTATTTTGAGCCATGATATAAGTTGGGCATCGTCCTGGATCTATTTTATTTTCAATTTTTTCGTTTCGAAATTCCGTAAATTCGGTCGCAACACCTCAAAATGGCGTTGATTGACTTTGATTATAGACAGTATGAAGTGAATTTGATTGTATACCTATATATTACATATTTTTTCGATACATAGTCGCAGTCGTTTTGTGGTGTTTTGACCAAATTTGCGAAATTTCCAAAAGAAAAAATTAAAAATAACAGATCCAGGAGGATGCCCAACTTGAATGACAGCTCAAAATACTTGTTTTGATTATGAGAATTACTGAAAGAAAAATTTTGAACATCAACCGTGATGTAATTTTCAAAATTCAACTCAAATTTTTCAACTTTTTTTTTCTAAAATTCGTTATTATGAGCATCTAGGAATCGAAAAAAATAGAACTCGAGTTATTGGAAAAAACGGAAAAATGTGAAAAAAATCACATCTCCGAACTGGGCTGCCGAAAAAATCTGAAAAAATTTGAGAGATAGTTTTTCAATCTCTCCGATCGTAGAAAAAATCGCCATTAATTTCCAAGAGGGTGAGGGTCAGCGATTGACTCATTTGATGTGGAATACCTCATATAGAATTTCTATTCAACATTCAATTTTTTCAAGTTTTCGGGGCACAGATGAGGAAAAGATAATCCACGATACACTTCTAATGAATAATGGAACAATTTTTTTTGTGATTCCTGTGTAATGCGGTTGGTTTCCGCAGGGTGTGCGTAAAGTGAATCCACGTGCGTAAAGCGGAGTTTTACGCACTCGAAATTCACTTTACGCAAGCTCTTGAACTTTACGCACTTATGACAAAACCAACCACATTACCCCCACTATCGTTCCGAACAGTCAACTCGGCAGGTATCACAAAAAATAGGATGTGTTACACGTGCGTGCGAAAAAGTGGTACTTTACGCACTAGTAACACAATATACTATTACCAAACTATCTTGTCCATTTAGAAAACAAGTAACTTCCCAGGAAAGAAAAAAAGTAACGTCCCAAAAAATGTCTTGACTTTTTTCCCTGAACTCACTCTTCATCACGATAATTTGATATCCAATCTTGCGTGAATGGTTCACTTATGAGTTTAACACGTTTATAATTTGCTACTAGAATGGTCAATAAAAACAACTCCATCATAAAAATAAACAACTTACATTCTTCAGAGACATGCTTGCCTAGCGCCTGTGCAGCAACGGCCGCAATCAAAAATGCAATCCACAGGTACTTCATATTGATTCTCCAATAACCGAATCTATAATCAAATGAAATATATGACCCACGCGGGACATTATTATCGCATGCAACTGCAACATCTCACTCATGAAAAGTTTTTCAATGAAAAAAATAACCATGGAACCGCAAGCATGTGACTGCATGGGGAAAAAAGTTGAGGAAAAATTACTGAAAGAGTCAAGGAATCGTGAAATTTGAGTTCTAGCTCTTTTTGACTCTACGTCGAAGGAAAACCAGTAGATGACAGCGAGCATGTGCATCTGCAACTGGAGATTTTCTACTTAGGAGTGTTTTTCTTTTTTACCATCAACAAATTAATGACAGGTCTTTAAATAACTGTTTTGGTACTTCAATGGGTTCTTATAGGCTAAATAAATTCGCATAAATTTTCAGCAGAATCCGATTCCGTAGGTCAAATTTATCTTCAACTGCCCAAAGTTAGTTTTATCAATTGATTTTGCATTTTTTGTAACCGCAAATTCAACTTAAGGAAAATAAAAAGGCATCTTCTCCCCCATTTTTCATAATTAAGTAGCGAAAATTAGGGATCATATTCAAAAAGCCATTTACTAAATTTATATGTTGGCGATTCTTTCGCAGTGGAATTTTCGGTCATAAACAATTCAAATCTTTAATTTCGAGTGACCGGAGACAATTTTGATGTACAGAATCACATCTCTGAGGAAAAATAATACGAAAAATACTACTTGAAAAATGTTCTCCTTAAAAACGGAAAATGTGCGGGCTGTCGTTATGGAAAAACTAACAACTAATATACTATTAACTAATAATACTATATTAACTAAATATTAACTAATATACTACTATTTACCCGAGGTGAACTTTCCCTTAATATCTCATTTTGTTGCGTAAGTTAAAGTTAAGTATGCGCGTACAAAAATTTTGAGCGGAAAACTGAACAATGAAAATATTTCCAAACTTTGTATGAACGGCTATACATATTTTGATTGATTGAGATAGAAGACATCGAGACCAATATTTTGAAAAAAAAATTGAAATGGGTTGAATAGTTTCCGAGATATTTGTGAAAAGTAATTTAGAAACTATTCATAGTGAATGTTCTCTTTCGTTAGTTCCCACATCATTCGAATCATTCTCACAAATTCCTACAAAAAATACTATACAGCAGCGGGAAATCGAGATACGCGGTCGCGTATCGGCCAAGAAATGTTTTATTTCTGGATGTACAAAACAGCAGGCGAATCGCTGCCATGTATCTATACACGAAGCAACTATCTCCACTACCTGCGAATCATATCTATTACATAAAATACAAACGTGACGTAAAAATACTCTTAGTTACATTGTATAAATCGGCCATAAGCTTCTCATTGATATGTCCATTTTTTTGTTCAAAGAAATATTTGCAAAAATACGCGCATATCTCCTATCATTTTTTGTTACGGCATTGGTAGCAGTCCAATACAACCATACGCACCAAGGAGGGAACCCAGGAATTTACAAATTGAATTTGGTGCATGAATGCTGAATTCCACAGATATTTTTCAATTGAGTTCCGTACATAAATAAATTCTCGCGGCAACAAATCAAGTCGGAAAATCTTGAATAAATAATTAAAAGTCAATGGAAATGATGACTGTGGAGTAAAACTATTTGTTTTGTTTCGATTGTCGATTGGAAAGATGATCTATTGTGTGAAAAATGAATGAGCCAAAAAAAAATTACAGGATATAAAAACGATTCCTTGCCTATTTTGAAAAAAATTATGAAATCTCCCTAAAAAAACAAAAGCGAATGTTTTTGTAAAAGAACCTGGGGCATGAAAAAGTTTTGTTTGGTTCCTACTGGCAAGTAGAAATTTTTGAAAAATACAAAGAAATGAGAAAGAAACTCAAATCAGCAATGCCGAATGAACGAACATAGTGCCCAATCAGATTTCTATGAGAAAAATAGTTTCAAATCGAATAAGGATTTTAAAAAATTCTTCGTGAAATAAAAAATTAGTAGAACAAGGACCAACGTTTTTGGCGCAGAATTTTTCAACTCACTGTACAGTATCAATCTAATCCTCCATCTTCTGATCCGCGCCACGGACGTTGGTCTTCTTTCTACTAATTGTTCATTTCATCAAGGATTTTTTAAAATCCTTATTCGATTTGAAACTATTTTTCTCATAGATATCTGATTGTGCACTATGTCCATTCATTTGACATTGCTGACTTGGCTTCCTTTTTCATTTCTTAGTATTTTTCAAAAATTTCTACTTCTCAGTAAGAACCAAACAAAAATTTTTCTTGGCGCAGTTTTTTTACATTTTACACTACAGAGAAACGTAATTTTTTTCACTGAACGAATGGTAATAATATTGTATGAATTTATTTACTTTGTTTAGAATTACATCCGTACAAAGGCAAGTCGAGTCAACAGCCTAAAATTGTTTAATATACAAAAGTTATTTACAAAAGTTTCAGTGCGGTTTCTCTTTGTGCGGTTGTTATCAAGTACGTATCTTGCGCCATTCGTTCCCATAAATTTCTTTCATTATTTTTCTCCATTATATTAATTTTTAACAAACTAAAGTTAATAGTTGCTTAATATAATTTTTGCGGAATCGTAAAAACAGTTGTGAATCGCAATAACTTAGGCTTTCAATTTTGAGTTCAGTAAATTAAGCAGTGATTCAATAGTGTCCAGTCTTCGCGAGATCTTCGAGATTAATTTACATCTTTCCTCCTGGAATTTCGCACACTCTAGGAAAAATGAGCTATATTATTATCGGTCGGTGAGAGGCATTTAGAACAGTATTCATCAGTTTTTTTTTTTTTTTTTAAGCATTGGAGACCTCAATACGAGGTCTATTAGCTGTTGAATAGTATTTACAAATTATATATTTACATATGTTCTACATATATAAGTTGTAAATTCTTAGATATAATTATATTTTCAATTTACATTCTATTAGAAAATTATCAATGGATTTGATGACTATTGGATTCAGAATACACACAATATTTGACATTTTACAGGGAAATTGACAGTGTTTCACAATTTTTTTCCTCATTTTTGTCCTCTGCTCGTCGAACCTTGGGCATTGCCATACTATATGATCGATGTCTTCCTCTGCATGTCCACATTCACATGTGGGATCTGTTATAATGCCTATCCGAGCCAATGATGATTTCAAGTTATAATGATTGGCTCTCAATCGATTTACCCATACGATTGTATGTCGATTCAGTTCTTTGAGGCCATGAAACCAGGGTTTGGATGAATTTTTGAAGAAGTTATCAAAGTAAATTTTACCCTTCAGTGCTCCTTGTTCTCATAATTGTTCAGTCGTATTTTTCATTGATGCTAATTTAAATCCTTCTTTAAAGTCTGTGAAAGAAATAGAATTGATCTCAGGTCTGCTCGCTTCTGTAGATGATTTCGCTAATTTATCGACTTCGTCGTTTCCGGGGATACCGATATGAGAGGGGATCCAGTAAAATTTAAGTTCACGAGTTAAATCCGCTAAATTCTTATATTCGTTGTATTTCTTTCGAATTTGTAGCAGGTAGTCATTGTCTTTAATTGCCAATTTTTCCCGACTGAGAGCTTGCAATGCACTGAGGCAATCCGTGAAGATGCATATATTTTTATCANATCCTTCTTTAAAGTCTGTGAAAGGAATAGAATTGATTTCAGGTCTGCTCACTTCTGTGGCTGATTTCGCTAATTTATCGACTTCGTCGTTTCCGGGGATACCGATATGAGAGGGGATCCAGTAAAATTTAAGTTCACGAGTTAAATCCGCTAAATTCTTATATTCGTTGTATTTCTTTCGAATTTGTAGCAGGTAGTCATTGTCTTTAATTGCCAATTTTTCCCGACTGAGAGCTTGCAATGCACTGAGGCAATCCGTGAAGATGCATATATTTTTATCAGTGTGCTGAAGAGCTAGATTCATCGCTTCATTCAGCGCTATGCACTCTGTAGTGTACACCGATGATTTAACGTTTATACTTTTGGTAATTCTAATGTCCAACTGTGGGCAGTAGCAAGCGCATCCAACACAATTAGCACCGTTGACCTTACTTCTATCTGTGTATATCTCGTAGATATCATTGTTTTCTTCCCTGATGGCCTGTTCGATGATTTCTGGTTTTCCCGTTTCTTTTATATCTTTCCCGATCTCTGAATCGAATGGAATCTCAGTGAGAACATCCTTGTAACTGTGTTGGTATATGCTAAAGTGCGGTTTCGATTCTTCTTGATCCAGTAATGGTCTCATTTCCCTTGCACATTTGAACAACAGTCGGTTCTGTCTTTTTCTGATGAGTGGGCTATGATTTATAAATTCCGTGAGCGTCTTGTGGAATTGGAGTTTTTCGTTAGCTAATACTTTAATGTAATAATTTTTCGTTAAAAATTTAGCTCTCTCTTTAATGCTCGGGAGTCTAACTTCAGCGTTAATGACGTTCGTTGGTGTACTGCGTCTGTATCCTGTATTTTTGGACTTTATCGAGGATGTTTCCCAATTTTTTCGTGGTAGGATAATAGATTCCTAGTGCGTATTCTATTATCGATCTTACATAGCCTTTCTACAGAAGGAGTAGCGTAGTCGGGTTACTTCCCCACCAAGTTCCCCTCAAAAATTTAATAAGATTGAGAGCTTTAAACGCTCTTCTCTCTATGTATTCTACGTGCAGTCTCAATAACAATTTGTAATCAAGGATAACTCCAAGAAACCGAGCTGACTCTGAGGATTTAATTATAAATTTTTCAATCGTTATTATTGTGTCTCCTGGTTTTATTTTTCGTTTGAGTGTGAAATGTACCAGTTTTGTTTTTTGTGGGGCAAGTTCTAGACCTATTTCGTATAAATTTTTCTTGAGGGTTTCAATAGCTCTTTCTATTTTGATGGTGTTCTGATCTACGTTTTTCCCTCTAATGTATACAGCCGTGTCGTCAGCAAATAGTGGGAAACTACAACATCTGTAGGAATATTTTCTGTGATATCTAATACGTAAATCGAATATAGGAGAGGGCTTAATA